GAAATAGGTAGTGGATTGTATAAATCTGAATTGTTGTCATGACTTTTTATAATATAACAAATTTTACCACCTCACATCTTTGTTCATTTTTTGCTAATAATTATTTTTTTGCATGTGTTAAGTTTGGCAAATGAAGTGTATGAGCTTCCATAATGATAGATTTTCTTAAAGAACATTGAGAAATAAAAAAATAATTATCTTTAAAAAGATAACCATCGTAAGTAGGAAGATGGCCACTTTCACACTTTTTTGAAATAACTCTTTTAGAATTTCAAACCCCATAATCTTTCCTTTTAATTGAATAAGTAAGGAGTATTTTTGCTTAAAGCATCAACAATAATATTTTCAACATCAAACTTATGATTAATAGTAAAATTATAGACTTGCAAAAACTTAATCCATCTAGTATGTCATCTATTGAGTTTTTGTTGATTATTGAGATATTTCAAAGTTTCATAAATAAAGTAAAGGTAGTAAAACACAAATGGTTTTGGTAGTAGGTAATGATTCCAATAATTTAAAGTTTAATTTCTAGAATTCCTTAGTACAAGTAGAGTAATTCTATTCATTCTAACTTTTCACTAAGAAAAGCAATTAGGTTACCTCCTTGCTTATATTGCAAACATCACATTCAACTTAAGAACTTTGTCAAAAGGTGAGAATATTAGGATAGGAGCTTTCATTACCTTACTTTTTAGAATCTCAAAACTCTTTTGGACCAATTTGTTAATTTAAAACAATCGAAATCAGAACCAAATATTTTTATAAATTGATTATAAAAAGAGTCAAGACCATGAAAGCTTCCGATATCATATAGTGCCATTGGTGTAGGCCAATTCAAGATGACTTCCACTTTGCTAGGATCTATATAGATTCCAACTCTAGATTTAACATAGGCTAAAAAAATGAGACTATCAATGAAAATATATATATTTCTTAAGTTAGTATATAACTTTTGTTCTAAATAAGTCTTAGAAACCTTACAAAGATGTTAGAGATATGGCTTCTCGTTATTGCTATAGGTAAAAATATCATCAAAATATACAACAATAAATTTTTTGATAAGAAAATATAATTCATGAGGCACACAAATGTACTAAGAGCATTAGAGAGAGCAAATGACATTATCATCCATTCACAAAGATAATCTCATATTTTGAATGTTATTTTTCATTCATCTTCAGTTCACATACAGATTTGATGATAGCCATTATAATGATCAATCTTAGAAAATATAATTACCAAGTCAAGAAGATCATCTAAATGCAGAATAGGAAGGTGATAATATTAATCTTATTTATAGCTCTACTATCCTTAAACATTCACTATGATCCATCTTTTTTTGGAATAAGAAAAGCTAGCACATCATATGGGTTGAAACTTTCTTTTTATCAAACCCTTAGCCAAAAGTTTACCCACTTTGTCTTTGTATCTCTTTATTTCATACTTACTATATAAGTTATTTTGTTTGATAAAAATAGTATTACATTTAAGATCAATATTATATTTAATATCTTTCATAGGTGGAAGACCACATGGAATCTTTTCGGAGATAACATCATGAAAATTACGAGAGAAGATCTCCACTATTCTCATTCTTTTCTAAAACAATAGGTGCATATGCTTCATTATTTATCTCAAGCTCCTTTCGAGTCTACAAAGAGAAAGAAAATTATTTTCCTCCTTTAAGGGTTTCAAAATAAGTTTAGTTTAGAATATCCTAAAATAATCTTAACATCATCTTCGATGAAAGAATAATTATTTTTAAGATCACCATGAAATGTTTTGCTATCATACTACCAAGAACACCCAAGAAGTATGTGACAAGCATCCATACAAATAACATTACACTATACTTTATAGTTGTTTCCAATTGAAAATAAAATAAAATAATATTTATTTACCTTGATTCCATTATCTTTTCATAGCCATAAAAGATTATAAGGTGGAGGATGCTTTTCCATCTTTAACTTTAATTGGTTCACTATCTCGGTAGATACCATATTTTTGAAGCTACCATAATCAATTATCACATATCAAACTTTTCCTTACAAAGTGCATTTTGTGTAAAAAATATTCTTTTGAAGCCATTGATCTTCTATTTCTTCCTAAATAATATTTAATTTTCTTTGAATCATAAGAAATTGTCCATTTGCATATGCAATTTCTTTATCTTCTGTTACAATAGTATCTGGATTAGTATGAGCCTCCTCGTCCATTGTATCATCACCCACTTCCTCAATTAGAATGATAATTTTGTGATTAAGACATTATGAAGCAATATGTCCATAATTGTGACACTTGAAACATTGATGAAAACTCCCACCAAAAGAGCTCGAGGGTAGCTTGGAATTAGCCCCACCATCACCCTTTGAGATCACTTTTACTGTAGATTTGATAGTTAGGCTAAACTTAGAAGTAGACATTTTCTCGAGTGGATATGTATGTCATCAGGAGCTGTAGATCGAAATCCACTCCCTTGAGCCTTGTTTTTTCGTCAACCTTAAAAGGAAGTTTGCAAACATCATTATAACTCCAATAAGGTTGTAGTTGGACATTACCAATCTTGAGCCTTATCACCCTCAAGATATCTTACTATAATTTGCTTCTTTGGTTCACTAAGATCACATTTTATCATAAGAATATTAAATTATAAAAGATCATTTTGGTTGAAGTTTTGGAACTCGAGAAAAGCATCTTCCTTGTAGATGTTAGGAAGATATTTCTTCTTTTAATTTTCCTTTTTCATATTCTCCCATGTTAAAAACTTTCTTCCAATCTTGTTTGAGCACCCATCAAGACGTTCGTAGGAGAGAATTGAGCATACTTCAACTTCCTTGTAAATCAATTCTAGATTTCTAAATCTGGAATTGATAAATGTCTAATTAATGTGATAAATATATTATAAATCATCTCAAAATTAGTATGAAATGAGTATTCTTGATTTATTTAAAAAATAAAAAATTAGTGTATTTATCATGATTTCTCCGAATTAAAAGTCTAAAAACACTTCTCTTTCTCAAAAGTAAAAGTATACATATATATATATATACTGGCTTTATAGAAAATGGTATAATCTGAAAAAGATGGTATCATCTTTTTGAAATTTTATATAAATAAGATGTATAATCTGAAAAAACACACAAAATATGAGACCTTTTCCTAAGAAATTACTAAATCTCAAATATATTAAGATAATTTATTAGAGTATGAATTTCTTTTGAATTCATATAATTAGAAAAAGTACAAATCAATATCCTTTAGCCTTCCTAAAATGAGGAATAAAAAAAATTTGCTCTGGGTACGAGAAAGTTCTTTAATCTTGAGTAAAAAAGGAGAAAGAAAATATTGCTATGCCCATGAAAAACCATGGTTGCTGAGAGGCGACAGAACATTAATTAGAAGTCGAATAGATGGAAGGTGTGGAGGTAATCTTCATGGTTAATAATATTAGGTAAAAGATTTGAGGTTTATGCTAATTATAAAGTAACTACAATTGACTATTATAATTACCAAACATGAAAAAGGATATAACGCCATCATCTTGTGTGATTTAAATGAAAATATATATATCATCTTTCATCAAAGTTTTAATCTTTTTTCTGATTCGGCATCTTTTACCTTTGTGGAATGATCATAGCGGGCCAAAGAAAGAAAAAAAAAGACAAATGTTATTCGAGTTGGTTCATTCGCATGGAGAAATTTCTGGGAAGATATATTTCTTGTAGGCCCGATGTGATGTTAGAGCAGTTTTATAGAAAGAAATTTTGGAATGACCTACTGGATCATTCATTGTTCATGGCTCATTTATGGAATCAGAGAGAAGGAATATTGCACATTGGATTGAATTTTCATTTATGTTCATGTTAATTAAAGTTGAAAAAGATAGATAATAATACATTGATAACATCTCCAGCCTGTATCACGCCGCCGGCCGATCGGTCTTTGGATCCGTAAAAGACTACCGTGACGGACAGTTTTCAGGGCGATTCGGTCGTACTTGCCTAAACGACTTGGATATGGGTTTCAAGAATCTAAAGGGGACAGTGGTTGTCTGACTTTAGTTGATCTCCTGCAGCCACAAGAAGGGACATACAAAGACTTGAGATGCTCTCAGGCTTCTCCTTGATTTCTAAGGAATAATGAACCAGAAAAGAGATCCTTACGTTGGGTGTTCGCTTTCGAGTAAGATCTAAGATTCACCAAATAAATTATTCGCTTCGGCTGTGGAAGACCCATCATGGCCTTTGCTTGCATTCCCAGCAAATCCACACTAAGCTACCGGCAGACGTAAACCACTTCTTAATTGCGAGCTGATGTTTGGTGCTACGAGTGGTCCTTCGTCCTTACTCTGAAAGAGTAAAGATCGCCTGCATGAAACTACATAAACTCTCTCTCATCCGAGGAACAGGAACGAATAAAGTGGCTAGCTGAATTATCTATCTAAATAGCAACAAAAAATTCGTTGGTCTTTAAAGATTAATGTCATTTACATGTTGGATAGGAACTAAGTGGTGTGGCAAGTTTTTGCAGTAAAAAAGCTGTGAGAGGTGTGTTTATGAACATCGTGTACATCAATCAATCACGCCAGAATTGTGGTGAGGGAGTAGCAATCCTCACCCGAATCCATCAGATACACCGAACAATCAATTCGTGTTGCTCCTCCGGATTCGAAGATCGAGTGTTTCCGTGATCTCGAGCTTGAATTCCACTCTCTCTGTTGACTCGATTGATCCATCTTGACTTCCTCCTCGATCCTTGTGGCTCTGGTTTTGTCACAATGGGTAGTAGATTAATAGTGATCGGAGGCCGACGGGGATACAAGTGTCACTTTAGGCGTTAAAGAATACCATAACGACCGCGTGAGCTGTTGTTGCTTGCCGTCGCCGTCAACTCCCTCGCACTATCGGCGAACTGACTAACGGCGACTTAATGGCGTCAAAGACGTAAAATATAACCCCCAAGCTCCTCCCTCTCTCCATTTCAATAAGCGAGAGAGAGATCCAGAGAGAGACAGAGAGAGAGAGTCGTCTGCCTCCTCTCTTTCTCCATTACAGTTAGGATCAGAGTTGCGATCTTTCTTCACGCCATCCATCGATCGATCAATTTACTCAGTTCCTAGAATCGGATCGCGCGGCAGCCATCAGGAGGGGTGGACGCTAGTGGCGAGATCGTAAACGGAGAGAGGCTTACCACCTGTCGTTTGTTACAAGGTACGCCTTCTTTCCGCTCGTCATTTCGGTGATGGATGATTCAAACTTTTTGGCCTTACGGAGGGGTTTTACCTTCGTATATATATGTATATACATCATGATATGCTATTTTGCTATTCTTACTCAATAGAAGAAATAGCACATAATAGCAGGGATTTTTAGATGGTCAATGTTTTGGTTTCGTGATTACTGAAATTTAAGCCAACAATCAAACTCCCTCCCGTCGATGGACTGTGGGGCAGTTTGTTCCCTGCGTTGTTGTGTCTAAGTCATGTAGACGAAGATGAGGGTACGGCGTAGAAATGGGGCAGTTAATGCATCTGGTGGAGCTCCTCTGTTTCGATAAAGACAAATATAAACACGATCAAGCTGTCTGTGTGATTAGCGGTCGGTTAGTGGATCCCTCGATGGGACATGGGTTTGGAAAATATTACTATTATTATACCATAAGATGCCCATCGAATTGAACGAGCGACATTTTCTTTTTTTTTTTTATTGGTGATGCTCAGGAACAAGTGGCTTACCATGCTAAGGCTTGCTTGGCATCGTTTACTTTCTGTGCCCGTCGAATATTGTAAGGAAATCGAGATGGGAAACACGTTCGCTAGTCCTAAAAATATGTTGTAGTGTCCTAAAAATATCTATTTCAACAGTATGTTTTTGATTCTAATAGAAATTGGAACTACCAACTTCACACAGATATATAGTATTTTCATTGACCAAAACTATTGATCGTCTTTAATGAAATAGATAAAAGACTACATGTAATTGCGTATTGGAAACAAATTATAATTTTTTGTCCGAAGAAAATAGGATCAGTGATGATCGCGTAATGATTATGATTGGGGTGGTTACTAAGAACTTGTTTCGCATAGTTGTGTTAAAAAAATACAACTGTTCATAGGAAATATTTGGTCTATCAATCATGCAAGTCTGACCTAACTTGGTCTACAATACTTTTCATGGTATATTTGAGCAGGCAACTGTCTCCCATCATGTCTCTTTCTGTAACTGACCTGACTGGGTTTTAGTGTAATGTATATACTGATAGAAAAGCATGATAAAATGCATGAACAGAGCAGCGTTTACTGAACCATGTTATTCTGATTTCAATGGCTAAATCTCCTCCTTTCAGAAACAGGAAAAGCATCAGCAGTAGGAATGTCGGAGGGTACTACCGGCTTTCAGCTTGGCGTGATCGGGTCGCTGGCTCTCTCTGTTGCATCTTCCGTTTCAATCGTCATATGCAACAAAGCTCTCATCAGCTCGCTTGGCTTCCCTTTTGGTTTGTCCTTCGTTTTCCATTTTGCATCCTCTTCTCTCTCTCTCTAGGGTCTGAAAAGCCTGACATAGTTAGAGAAACTGGTTCTTTTACATCAAACTATGGAAGTTGTGGGAAATAAAATAAATTCACTACACCACTCAACAAGCATATTGTTCATGTGAACAGTAAGCTAGAGATGAATGCAGATGGGGGCAAAATAAATTCTGAACGATAGTATTCGTTAGTTATCAAAGCAAATTTAAGTCTCAATTAGTGTGGATTTTGAATTACGAGCAGCCTCGACCCTGACAAGCTGGCATCTAATGATGACCTTCTGCACGCTGCATGTGGCGCAGCGTTTCCACTTCTTCGACCCAAAATCTATCGACGCAAGGACCGTTGTCCTCTTTGGGCTTCTCAATGGCACGTCCATTGGCTTCCTCAACCTTAGCCTTGGTTTCAACTCCATTGGATTCTATCAGGCTAGTAATTTACAGCCCTAATATTGCTTTTAGCATTCAGAAGATTATATATGATTTTTTCTTCTAGTTATATTTAATATCTAAATCCATTTAACTATATTCACACATTCCTATTACTGATATGGCAGATGACGAAGCTTGCCATCATACCTTTCACGGTGCTGCTGGAGACCGTCTTCCTGAAGAAAAATTTCAGGTTCAATCACAGGAAAAATACTATAAATGCACTATTGTGCTTTGACATTATAACACTTGCTACATTTCCAACCAGTAGGGTAGACTCATCCTCAAGATAAGATATTACAAATATTATAACCTCATCCTAAGTAACTCAACTTAGAACCAAACCGTAAATAAAGCTAGATCCGAATGTAGCAATAAAATGACAGGTGAATAGGTCTGACTTGAGGATCAGTTGATATAATCCAAGATATCTTGAAATTAAATATGGGTGTTAATTAGTCACAAATTCATGCTTTTAATGGAAAACTAACAAGGGCTTATTTGCAGCAAGGGTATCAAGCTCTCTCTGCTTGTGTTGCTCATTGGAGTTGGCATTGCATCTGTTACGGATCTGAAGCTAAATCTACTTGGCTCCATTCTCTCTGGTCTTGCTATTGCTACTACATGCGTTGGCCAAATTGTATCCTTGGTTTTAGATCTGATATTTAGCTGCTCGATCCGCTTGCTCACTCAGCTACAACAAGTAGACCAATGCTTACTTTTGGTGTCCGGATCCATCAGGTTGAAGACAATGTTTCCTTGACCATAAATTTGAATGGTAGATGACGAACACAATTCAGAGGAGGTTGAAAGTTTCGTCTACACAGCTTCTATACCAATCATCACCGTATCAGGCGGCTATACTATTTGTTGCCGGCCCATTTGTGGACCAGTTGCTCACCAAGCGAAGTGTGTTTGCCTATAGCTACTCCCTTCTGGTTCTGGTATATTCTCCACCACATTCTTAAATATCTCACTTGCCTACCACTTTTAGTGGTATTTCACACACACACACACACACACACATATATATATATATATATATATATATATATATATATATATATATATATATATTTGGAAAAATAAAAGATGAAAGCAGGATTCGAGCCTAAGATCTTATAATAAACAGTTTAAAGCCTTTACTAGCGAGGCTAATTGACAACTTGAAACTAGAGACTATACTTATCCAAGCATAATGTCCACATTGAGAATAGTGTGCATCATAAGTTAGCTTAGCAAGTTAACAGTGATCTAATTTGAACCTGTCTATATAGGTGTAACATATGTAGGAAAATAATGTTGTTAACACTTAACAAAAGAACATTGGATTAATGCTATTCCATACTTGGTAATTTTCTTACGTGTTAACTTGGACATCACATAATTTTGTATTCTTTCTCTTGCTTCATATATAGGACTCTCGCATTACTAAACATACATGTTTCATTCAGTCATGTAATCAATAAAAATCTATTAGAAAAATATTCATGATAAAGATAGTCCAACACTGGTAACGAGATTAAATGTGTGGTTAGATGATATATACTCAAACTTTTCTAACTAAATTTTGTGTCTTAACACTCCATTACATCTCCTTTCCTTTTGGTATGTTCCAAATGATCAACTAGAAATAATAAAGAAGTAGAAATAAATTAATTATCCCCCACCATTCTGTTTCTAATACTTCAAAAATGTTTCCCCATATTTTTTTACTAATGTTTGACATGAATGTGAGCATGTACTTTAGTAGGGACTTTGGGTTGGATCTTGTTCTGATATGGATGTGAACATGTGCTTAAATAGGGATTTATCATCCTATCCTGTTTGATCGCGGTGTCCGTGAACTTCAGCACATTTCTGGTTATTGGGACAACATCACCGGTGACATATCAAGTTCTTGGCCACCTCAAGACATGCCTTGTTCTTTCATTTGGCTACATTATATTGCATGACCCTTTCACTTCCAGGAACATTATGGGAATCCTGGTTGCCATGTTTGGAATGGGTCTTTATTCATACTTTTCTGTGAAAGAGAGCAAGAAAAAATCAGCAAATGACGTTTTGCCCATTTCCCAGGTTTGTTTGACTTGAATTCTCTATGCTGACCTTGTTAACATAATCTTATTCTTTTGTGATTTAAGCTTCTAATTCCTCTAACAAATATTTTTGGTACGAACTTTATGATTCTTCACCCAGTCTTTCTGGAAAATCTCTAAACAGCATTTGGTTCTTAGTTAAAATATGCCAAGACATTATTATACGCGATGCTCTATTATTTTGCTCTTTTATATGCATCACACTCGGATAAATGATGAAAATAAGTCATATGAGCCATAATGGTACAAAAATGAACGTTGAGCTCTTTCTCTTATGCACTTTGACATCTTCTGCACTTTGTTTTGGCAGATGACACACAAGGAGACGACGCCACTCTTGACAACCAGAACCAATGACAAGGATGGCAACGAGAGCAAGAAAGTGAATGGAGTACCTACAGCTGCCAAGGACTCCGAGTAGCACAGGTCATCCAAAGCGATTAACAAGAATAGGCTTATATTGTTCTACTGTAAAAGGCGATCGAGCTGAGCATTATAGTTGATTCATTTAGAGAAAGTATAAATCTCTCTTGTTATTGCCCATATATTATAAAATAAAAGTGATTTTGTTACATTATGCTGGTATGTAAATTTTTTTAATTGGGATTGAAATATAAATTATTATAAATCAAGAATAGTATCATATATTTTTTGATAATATTATTAAATGAATATCTCAAATATCATGAAGTTTTGATAGATCTGCACATAAAATACTATGCCCTTCACTTTTCTTATGCACCATTATAATTGATAAAATTAAAGAATGATTATGCAAATCCAAAGAACAAAGTACTCATCAAAATAATCTTCCAAGATTATGACTCTTTTTATTTTAAAAATAATTTTTATAAATAAATTCTTATTTTTTAAAGAGTATTTAATATATATATATATATATATATATATATATATATATATATATATATATATATATATATATATATAT